GTAAATACACGCAAGCCGGTTGGATTATTTTTGCCAACAGTTTTTTATTTCTGTTTTATGTAACGTTTAAGTTTTTTTTTTCTTTTCTTTTCTTTTTTTTTTCTTTAATGCAAGCAAATGGGATTTTCTCAGCTAAGTAGGATGCAGAAAATGATACCAAATTGTTTATTAATGGTACTGCAATCATTCTCTGATACCATGTACACAAGGCTTTGTTGTAGGGAAGTTGAAGGAACTTTGAGTTTATTTCTGATAGTTTCTGCTAAGGTCTTTTTTCTTATTTTTGTCTGTATATCCCTCCCTCATGACTTTCCATTTTATTGCTCTCCTTTTTTTATATTTTCTGTGCTTCCCTCTTCCTTAGTTTGTCACTTTTTCTTTTTTTTCTTTCTTTCTTTTTTTTTTCTTTTTTTTTTTTTTTACTGATTCCTCAGCCACTTTTATCCCCACCTATCTCACCCAAACCCCCACCCTCACCCTCACCCTGACCTTCACCTTCACATATATGTATTTTCCTTCCTCTCCCCTCCTCTTCCTCTTCCTTCTCTTCCTCCTTCTCCTCCTCTTCTTCTTCTTCTTCTTCTTCTTCTTCTTCTTCTTCTTCTTCTTCCTCTTCCTCTTCCTCTTCCTCTTCCTCTTCCTCTTCCTCCTCCTCCTCCTCCTCTCCTCCTCCTCCTCCTCCTCCTCCTCCTCCTCCTCCTCCTCCTCCTCCTCCTCCTCCTCCTCCTCCTCCTCCTCTTCCTCTTCCTCCTCCTCTTCCTCCTCCTCCTCTTTCTCTACTTCATCCATTTCTTCTTTACTGCTGATTCTCTTCCTTATGTTGTTTTCGAGGTTCCGTTGTTTGATTACCTTGGCTTCCAAGCTCTCTTAGGTTTGCTATATGCTTTGCTAGGGTTCAGGTTGGCCATATTATATGGGTGAATTATCAGGATTGCTTTATATACTGGGGCACATTATATGGGTGGATTATCAGGACTGCTTTATATATTGGGGCACACAAAGAGCATATAGCGATACTGTATATACAATACAAGAAAACAAGTGTATGCATCCCTGCATATATATATTGATGTGCACTCATACACACAGTAATATCGGTACATGTTCATGTGCATGTCTAGATCCCAAAAATGTGTCCTTTGTTTCTGAAAGTGTCTCCATAAAGTATAATGAAATAGATAAGTACCCACATGTCAGTTAGCAACATGAGCACTGCAGACATATTGCTATAGGCATTGAAAGGGGCAAATGAAATATATATTTTTAAAAATGTGTGGAGAGCATTTTTGAGGACTTTTACATACACATATGTACCAATACATATATGGATATGTAATGGATATGCATATGCATTATATGCACTCACATTCACTCACACAGAGAGAGACAGAGACAGTGCTGGTCAAAATTCTTGTCCACCTCGGCATTTTTATTAGCTTTATCACATAATATTACTTCAGGCTATGAAACCAAGCCAGTTACTGCAGTTTTGATATGCATTCCCATTATAAGTAAGATAAGCAAAAAAGAATGCATCATATCATATACAAATTATGAAAAAATATTCCTTGTTACTGCAACCAAATATTTATCATAATTATTGAGAATGTAGTATAATCTGTTTTATTTTCTGTAAAATATTTCAGTGTATTTGAACATAAAATGCTTTTGATCACAGATCAGTTTATTTGATGTTATATTCTAAAAGATGTATCATTCCGTTGAATTAAAAACTTCTTTTAACGTGATTTAGGGATAAAGCCTAGATGTTAATGGACATGGGTTAGACCAGTGTGAATATGGATAAATCTTTTGATCATTACTGTTACACATACATGCAAACAAACAAAGACAGACACAAACACAAACACACATATCAGTGTGAACACATTTTCTCTCTCTCTTTCTCTCTCTCTCTCTCTCTCTCTCTCTCTCTCTCTCTCTCTCTCTCTCTCTCTCTCTCTCTCTCTCTCTCTCTCTCTCTCTCTCTCTCTCTCTCTCTCCCTCTCTCCCTCTCTCTTTCTTTTTCGCCCTCTCTCTTTCTTTTTCTCCCTCTCTCTTTCTTTTTCTCCCTCTCTCTTTCTCTTCCTTTCTCTCTTTCTCTTCCTTTCTCTCTTTCTCTTTCTTTCTCTCTTTCTCTTTCTTTTTCTCTCTTTCTCACACAGACACAAAATATAAATGGATATTTATCTATTTGGATAGAGATATAACCATAATCATACATGTAGCCTATATGTATATGTACAGTTGACAAATTCACATTATCTGTGATTGAATCCTTTGTAATTCTGTATCGAATGAGATGAATGCTAACGTGTTATGTTTGTTGATAAAAGAAGAAATGTTTGTATTTGGCAGTCTAATTAAATTAAAAAATCATAAATTTGGTTATGAAGATTAAGGAGTGTTGCAGGTTGATATATATCCTCTGAATATCATTTTTACAGCTACATTGTGCACAAGATTTTCAAAAGCTTTTTGGATTAATTCATTTCCTTAAATGTATTTTTGCCTGCGCCATTGTTGAATGATTAATTTTTTACACCACTTTATATTACAACTCGGTCTGAAACATCATCAGAATTACAGTAACCAACTGGGAAATACTTGCATGTTAATCAGTGTCCACTGGCATTATGTGATTAGATTTAGGCATTTTTATTGGTTTATAAATTTATTGTTAACCAAGCTGCAACATATCTCCAGGAAACCTGGCTTTACTAGATTTTTTTTCCAAGCATTTCATTCTTAGTTACAGATTACTGGGGAAACAGTCCTGTAAATGACAGCACTAGATATCCATTTTAATAGCACAAAGGGTATCGTGACTTAAGTCGACAACTTTGCATATGCAAGCAAGTGCAGGCTGGCACACCTGCCCACATACCCAATTTACAGCATATATACTCCATATATTTGAGAAAGATATTCTTATGTTTGTGGTATTTAGTGAAAGAGGAGAACTGGAGGTGCTGAATTATATCTGAAATAATAGATGCTGAGGCTTATTCTAGCTTAAATTAGTCCGATGCTTGAAAATGCAGCGGGACCGGGGGTAAAACACAAATTATGACTCACGAGGGTGTGTAAATATTTAGCTTCAACCATTGAGAAACACAAAAGGCTAGTTGTGAGCTAGGAAGAAGGATCTTATTTAGTGATTATGACAGAGTGAAGATATATGAATTTATTTTTTTATTGCTCTGATTTTGAGATATAGATATTTAATTTTGTTAATTTACCTTTTTTCTACCAAATTGATAATCACCCTTGTAGAAACCACAAAGTAATTAGTGCCTGTCTTAGTTACCAACAATGCATTTGATATACTAGCCTCTGTAACAGCAAATTAACAATTACTCCCGTTTTCTTCATTTCATCAAAGAAAGTATTTATCCAAAGGAAACTTCTCTTTAAGATGATGCACAACATGCTGCATGTTCTGTTGGAGATTCTTCATTAATGATTACATGAGGATTAGATTTATTTTGTTTTTTGCTAAGGCCAGATTGATATTTTGAAACTCACAAGAAATTGTCTTACAAAGAGGCATCCAATTCCTTCAAAGTGTGGATGGTAAGCTACAGCTCCTCACTGCCCACTTCTTTCATAGCTGTTAGAACTTTGACCATGTTACCGTTTCCATCTCTAAGTAACTACCAAACTCCAATTATATACCAAAAAAATGTTTTCATGAAATGGTTCCATAGCAGGCAGCATGTGGTTGTTGCATAGCAGGAGAAAATGATAGTATAATATGGTATAAGAACTATTAGACCCAAGTCATATATTCATGGAAAGATCCTTTCTTTAGCATTTAATTGATTTAGGCCAGTGATTTTCTTTGCCCTGTGGCAGTACTGAAAGCAGAAATATATTGAGAGTATTTGTACTCCTGTTAGTCATGAACATATATGAAGTTACAATTTTGTTTTATAAAGTTATTGAAAAGAAAACATGTCCAGAGGGTAGAGTACAAATGCTCCCAGTTTTATTAGCTAGAGTAAGCCATTTTTATATGTTTGTGCACTACAGATAAGGAAAAATTTCTGTATTAAACTGTGATGTGCAAATTTTCCATATATTATACACTTTGAAATGCATATAATGACCTATATCACAGCTGACCAGTATTTTATTATAACTGCTTTGATTAATATGCATACTCAAGTAATGTGATTCTTTAATTATGATTAGTTGTCTGCTGTGTAGATATAAAGTTGTCAAGAAACCTGTTTGCTGCTGTTATCTTTGTTATTTCTAGCATGTTTTTTCTCTTTTCCTTTCTTTCTATGGAAAATATATATACAGGTACCAAAAACGTAATGATAAAAGTATGAAGAATCCCTTTCACAAAATTTACTTCATAACATGTTTTCAGAATAAGGTATCTGGAGATTTCTTGTGCTAATATGAGATTGTAAAAGATGCATGAGGGTGAAGGTTGGAGTTCGATGGAATGCTGTATGGTACTTCGAGATCCTGAGCATTAAGATGTACAGATTACAATGTGTTGGTACTGTGTAAGCGTTTGCTACTTGTGTGTATCTGTCAATTTGCTTTGCATTCCAATAGGGGGTTTAGACACATTTGATTTAAAGAATGGATAGAAATTTGCATGCACACTTGAGAATATGTTTTAAGTTTTCCAAAACAGAGTTTGTTATATTTGTCACAGATTATGTCTTCTAAAGGTGAAATTTGACATTTTAGCTATAACTCTAATATTATATGGAGACCTAATAGATATTTGTGATACCCCTGTTAGAATAACCTATTAACCCCCCATATTTGATAAATGTCAAAATTTTAGTATTATCTACAATCTTGATTAAAAAAAAGACTCATTTCTGGGAAGGTAACAGTGCATGCATTTTGTCATCCAGTAAGTTGACTGAAGATTCCTAAAGAAAAAGAAAAAAGGTTGAAACAAGTAATTTTGCTCTTGGGTCTGAGATTAGTAGGTACAGTACATGTACAAGACTTTCTTTGGAGTTATA